ATAATAGTAGTAGCAATAGTATTACTACTTTTAACAATACTAATACTACTAATAATAATACTACTAACAATAATAATACTAATGCTAAACATGCTAATAACACTAATATTAGCCATAATAATAATAATACTAATAATAACAATAATAATACTACTAATACTAATACTAATAATAATAACAATAATAATATTACTAATAATATTAATAATAATAATACGAACAGTAATAATAATAGCCACACTAATACTAATAATAATAATAATATTAATAATACTAATACTAATAATAATAATACTAATAATAATAATAATAATAATATTAATTTTAATCATAGTAATAATAATAATACTCATAATAATACTAATGATGATAATAATATTAATAATAATGACACTAATACAGTAATGCTAATACTACCAATAATAACCATACAACGAAGACGACGAATACGCGGATGATGAGGAGGAGGATGAGGATAAGGAGGAGAATGAGGCGGAGGAGGATGAGGAGGAAGAGGAGGATGCGGAGGCGTGTGAGGAATGTGATGATGATGATAATGAGGATGATGATGATGAGGAGGAGGATGAGGCGACGGCGGATGAGGATGAGTAGGATGAGGTGGCGGAACGGGGGATGAGGAGTTGCAGGCAAGCGGAGGAGGATAATGAGGATGAGGATGAGTATGAGGAGGAGGAGGATGAGAGGGAGGAGGAAGGGGAGCAGGAGGAGGAGGAAGAGGAGGCGGAGGAGGATGAGGAGGAGGAGGAGGAGGAGGAGTGGGAGGCGGAGGCGGAGGATGATGCTGATGAAGGAAGATGATGAGGAGTGGGAGCAGGCGGAGGAGGCGGAGGATGACGGGCGGAGAGGAAGGGGAATGGGGGATTGGGGAGGAGGAGGAAGAGGAGGATGAGGAAGAGGAGGAGAAGAGAGGAGGAGGAAGAGGAGGAGGAGAGATGATGATGAGGATGGGATGAGGAGGAGGGGGAGGAGGAGGCGGAGGGGGAGGAGGAGGGGGAGGAGGAGCATGAGGAACAGGAGGAAACATTGGAGGATAAGGATGAGGATGAGTAGGAGGAGGAGGCGGACGGGGGCGGAGGATGTGCAGGCGGAGGAGGAGGATGAGGAGGAGGAATATGAGGAGGATAATTGGGAATGGGGGAGGGGGAGGGAGAGGAGGAGGAGGCAGAGGAGGGGAAGGAGGATGAGGAGGAGGATGAAGAGGAAGGTGAGGTGGATGACGAGGCGGAGGAGGAGGAAGAGGATGATGATGATGAGGATGATATAGTAGTAATCAAACCAAAGACCAGACGCGGGCGAATAGTACTAGTACCAATAGTAAGGGAACGACTGATCATACGAATAAGGATATCAAGAACACTGCAATGCTAAGACAATGTGAAGACAACTAAGAAGCATACTACGAACATGACGACACGTATGCATCACTGTAATAGTCTAAATAAGAAAAGCTAGCGGGATGACGAACCAGACCAATACTTAGACTACTAAAGTGACTGCCCCAACGACTATTGATACTACTTCGGATGTTACACTTCATTATAATGTGAAGAATCGGAATACGATCACGACTGCGCAGACACATCGTATGATACTCGTACTCATCATTCGACTGTTATCATCACCAATGCTAATGCCAGAGGAGCAGTGCCTTGGCTATCGATACCCACAAAACTACGAACACTATGTTATAATCCCACTGCTACTGGTACTACTAGTAACACTGAGTGTACTACTAACACTATTACTAACACTGTGACTACTACTTCTACCACTACTACGACTGATAATGCTAACAGCCCGAAACCTATTATTGATACTAGTAATACCACCACTCGCACTGTTTTTTATTCGTAGTAGTAGACAACAATAGTGTTATGACACACACATATCGATCGTACGAACCATACTGCGAATACTAGTGGTAGTAGTGCTACCATGACTAATATCGTACTAATAGTGGTCTTACTGGCAAGACTACTGATATTATCACTAGTACGAGCAACTCTACTAGTATTATTCCTAATCACCATACTAATGTTGCAACTGAACATAGTCCTTCTATTACTGCGCAAGGTGAATAACTAAGATTAGTACAATCAACACTATCAGCCATACTAGTAGTACTTGTACTGATCACAATCGTATTCCTAATACTCATCGCAATCATATGAACAATACTAATATTACGAACACTGATATTCATACTACTACGGATCTAAGGGTAGAGTGGCACTCGTATTAACAGTCATACTGGCAATGCGCAATATGATGATGGTACTAATCGTACTGTCACTTCTTCTTCTTCTTCTACTACTACTTTTAACAATGGTATTGCTAGTATTATTCATAATACCACTAATAGTACGAATGCGGCTACACATACACATAGTATTAATAGTGCGAATCGTATTGAACATATTAGTATTAGTATTTTAAATTGTAACATAGCGGGACAATCTTTAATTTGAGGAGGAAGAGGAGGAGGACAAAAGAGGAGAAACAGTAAGGGGAGGAGGAAACCGAGGAGGAGCAGGAAGAGGAGGCGGGGGAGGAGGAGTTGGAGGAGGAGGATGAGGTGGAGGAGGAGGAGGACCAGTGTGAACAAGAGTCGTCAGCGATGTTGGAATCTACCCTCCCGTCAAGGTCCTTCTTTCATTGGCCCGCACAACGGTTCATTTCGGTTGAGGGAGCTGCTTCGTTGGAAGACAACCGTTTGAAGACCCTGAAGCATGCCATACGTTGTTTTCGGGATTGTCAACGCCAAGGATCCACCTGGTTGCCGCGTCTGAACGATCCTGAACCGTGCCAGAACCCAATTTTTTACGGGATTTCAACACCGCGAACCAGTATAACTGTTGCACCCGCATAATCTTGAATTCTTCCAACACGCCGTTGCTGGTACATTGATCACGGGAAGCCGTGATTGTTTTTGCACATTTTATGAACGAACGTGCGCGGCGCTAAGGCGAGAGCCACATATGGTTTTTAAAACGAATGTGCGCGGCGCTAAGGCGAGAGCAACATTTTGAAAACGACCCGCCCCCAATCCGTGAAGCCTTTGCAAGTTTTGAGCACGAGTGTGCGCGGCGCTAAGGCGAGAGCCACTTGTTGAAAACGGCACGCCCTCATTCGTGAAGCTCTTCCAAATATTTGAAACGAGTGTGCGCGGCGCTAAGACGAGAGCCACATTTTGAACACGACCCGCCTTTAATCCGTGAAGCTCTTGCACATGTTATGAACGAGTGTGCGCGGCGCCAAGGCGAGAACTACATTTTGAAAACGACCCGCCCTCAATCTGTGAAGCTGTTGCACATGTTTACAACGAGTGTGCGCGGCGCTAAGGCGAGAGCGACACTTTGAAAACGACCCGCCCTCCATCTGTGAAGCTGTTGCCGCTTCTTTAGCTTCAGGGTCATAAGTGGTGGGGAGGTCTCAGGCGAAACGCCCTGCCCGCCCTAAGAACTGGCCTCGTTGTGCTACAGGGAGAAGTTCTTTATAAGGAAAAGGAATGGATGAGGAGGGGGAGGATGAGGAGGAGGAGGAGGAGGGGGAGGAGGAGGAGGTGGAAGAGGAGGAGGAGGAGGAGCAGGAGGAGGAGGATGAGGAGGAAGGGGAAGGAGGGGGATGAGGAAGGATGAAGGAGGCAGGCTGGAGGAAGGAGGAATGAGGAAAGATGAAGGATGAAGGAGTTTGAGGAGCAGGAGCAGCAGCAGGAGCAGGAACAGGAGCCAGATGAGGAGCAGGAGGCGGAGGAAGAGGAGGAGGAGGAGGAGGAGGAGGAGAAGGAGGAGGAGGAGGTGGAACAGGAGGAGGAGGTGGAAGAGGAGAGGAGGAGGAGGAGGAGGAGGAGGGAAGAAGAAGGAGGAGGGGTGGGGGGAGGAGGAGGAGGAGGAGGAGGAAGAAGAGGAGGAGGAAGCGGAGGAAACGGAAGAGGAGGAGGCGGAGGAGGAGGAGGAGGCGGGGGAGGAAAAGGAGGAGGAGGAGGGGGAGGATGAGGAGGACCGACTGACCGACTCGTCAGGCATCCGCGTGACGGTGAGGCTCACGATCCAGAACCGCGCGGCGAAGGTCTCGGGATCATTTCTTTTACCCGTAAATGCGAACCCCCTCCCCCTCCACACAATGATCCAATATTCGTACTACCCTCCTGCTTTTTCCTCACGTCGTATTTTTCCCCGCCTATCTCGCACTATTCGTTTCACTGGATTGCCTCGAGCTGGCTTTAGTTATGGGTGTTCCAATCAGAACGATCTTGGTTCTTCGAATACGGTGCTCCCTCTGCAGTATGCTGCATTTCAGGATCGGCGCTTTGCCCCCGACGTCCAGACTTGCGCCCTCGCCCAAGCGCGGACCACATTTCTGGATCCGATCCGTTCTTCGTCGTTGCGGTTCCCTACCTTTCCCTCTAATGCCTTCCTCTGGTCCTCCTGCTTCTCCTGTTCCTGCTGCTGCTTCATCTCTTTCTTCTTCGTCACCACTATCATGCTCTTCCTTCTCATCCTCGTGCTTGTCCGCCACCTCCTCGTCCACTGTACGACGCCTCCGTTGCCTGATTGGGGTCATTTCGGGAATCAAGGTCATCTAGGACACCCCAACCGGCGGATACAACATAATTCAACGCAGTGCGACGCGATAGCTGGGATGGATTGTGTGTCAGATACGGCGCGAGCGCACCTGGCTTGCCCGACCCTGTCATGCCATGTCTGCTATCTCGCGGTGATAAAGGCCCTCCAAGAGAGCGAGGAGTCCGAAACGCCCAAAGCAGCGTGTCTCCGAGAAGCACCCGCAATTTGGCCGCGAGCGGGCCCGAGTGACACCCCCTGGCAGTTCCCTGTGGGGGTGTCCCAGATTCCATGCCTGCTACATCGCGGCGATCATGGGTCCCTCAAGAGAGAGAGAGAGAGAGAGAGAGAAAAAAGAAGCCCGAGGCGCAGCTACGCTAGCTACGCTTGCACGGGCCGGTGCAACACACACTGGCGGCGACCCCTTGGGATGCCACAGTGCCATGCCTGCATCGTCGCGGTGATCATGGGGTCCTCAAGAGAGCGAGAGAGAAAGAGGGAGGGTTCCGAGGCGCCAAGATGGGCACGATCCGGGCGCGAAAGTGCACGTGTAAGGCCCATGGCGGCTCCCTGGCGGCTCCTGTGGAATTCCAGATGCCATGCTTGCTACATCCCGCTGATCACGAACGAGTAAGTCTGAGTATGAGCTTCGAGCTTGCTCATGAGTACATTTAAACATTAGTATGCGTGTGTGTGTGTGAGTATGAGTGAGTTAGAGTTTGCGTGATTCTGAGTATGAGTGAACGGTGTGTAGTGAGTCTGCGTTTGTGATGTGGGTGAGTCTGTGTGCGAGACAGCCTGAGTGTGAGTGAGTCTGGGTGTGGGTGAGTCTGAGTGTGAGTCAGTCTGCATTGGTGGGGTTTGTGTATGAAGGGTCCGATCATGACGGAGTCTGTGTGTCCGTGGGCCTGAATATGGATGGGTCAAATCTTGGGTGTGTGTCTGGGCGAGTTAGAGATAGATCTGCATGATAGAGGTAGGGAATCGGGTGTGAGTTGGGAAGGCGTGGCATGAATATCCCTGTGGGAAGTAGCACTATACAACGATAAGTAATGCGAGCATGCATCTGGATGGACACACCACTGATTCCACGCAACATACGCCAAACAGCAAATGCAGTGCACATTGACGCGTAAGCAATAGCGTTAAAACGTAACGAAGTTCATATGAATACATATACAGAGGACGCACACATCAGCGCGCAGAGCAAATCTTCTAATACTGCAATCCGTACACACGGAATCAGGCGTAGTTTCACGCGGTAAATCAACCGGACGCCTCCTTCAAGATAACGCACCAGTGTTCTTTGCCAATTTGCATCAACACGAGATCCAGCCCATACCGCCGCATAGTTACGCATACCTTCACATGGTCATCGATGCACACAGCTAAACATACGCGAACAGACTGACCATTTCACCGGCAACCGAACTGGTAACGAACAGGAAACAGTATTGCACCCACGTGCAGGACGCAGTAAGGCAGCGCATACAGCAGGGCACAATGAAGCTCCAGGGGAAACACTCAACGATGATACCAATCTGTCTCTTCCTCCTCGCCCTCTTCGTCTTCCAGTGCAGGTGTCTCCCTTGCCCCTCATCGCCATATCGTTTTGTAACCTCCCTCTCCCTCTACCTGAGACGCCGAAGCTGCCCAGGTCCTCACGTGTCTTCCAGTTCCGCATCCCCCTCCTCCTCTCCCTTCGCCCCTCGCGGGGGAGGGGCGCAGAGGGCAGAAGAATTGGGCCAGCGAGCGCCAGTCAGGAGGGCCGCCTCCGCCTGCACAGGTCGACGTGGAGCCCAACGCCACCAGTCTTATCATCAAGAGTCTCAAGGAGCACACTGGGGAAAAGTGGTGCCGAGCCCTGCACGGGACCTTGGGATCCCCCGCCGCGTAGAGGGAGATGAGCGGGAGACCGCCCGAGGAGGGCGAGGGTACACGTTGAGGTTTCACTGTTTTTTTCAAGCAGGTGGTCGGGGGTTCTGGCCCGTCTCCTGTTCCACGGAGTTCTGAGATCTGAGGTGGGGGAGGGGGGGCGACGAAGCGAGTTGGGAACGCCTGCGCGCGGCTTGTTGGCTAGGGCCTTGTCCTCTCAAGGGGCACGCTGTCTGCACGCTTCTTGTTTGAGGTCTGGCTTTCCAGCCCCATCTTCTCCTGACTGCTTTATCCTGCCTCTTGCCTCCCTCTTCTTCCTCTTGTCCCCCGCCCCGTGCTCTCCCGTGACCACTTAGTGCTTGACCAGAGGGCCGTCCGACAAGGCGGGGAGGACCAGGGGGGATGACATGAGGATGAGGGCAGACAAGAGGGCAGGGCAGGGGATGCCTTCTCCTCGTCCTGGTCTTTCTCCTGCTCCTGCTCCTTTTCTGGTCCTGGTCCTCCTCGTCCTCTTCGGCCATCCTACATCTTCTCTGATGTTCGTTCATTCTCATCCATTCTTCTCCGTCCTCCATCTTTTCTCCATCAGCCTCCAAGAGGTTTCATTCCGCCATCCACTATGAGCCTCTATCAGCCCCCATCCACCTCCATCCTCCATCCTCCTCCATTCCTGCTTCCATCACCCATCCTCCATCACTCACCATCCGTCCTCCATCCTCCATCCATCTACCCGTCCTGCATTCTCGTTCCTCCCTCCATCCCCCATTCTCCATCACCCACCACTCCGTCATTCTCCATCCATCCATCCCTCCGTCATGCATCCTCCTCCCTGCTTTCCCCCCCTCCCTCCCCTGTCCTCCCTCGTCCCTCACAGCAGCCTGCCTCTGGCGCGCGAGCTTCCGTCGAGTCTCTGTCGCCTCCAGGAGCCACTGCGCGACCGCAAGAAAACCAAGAACATCAAGCACTCTGGCAACCTGACCAAGCAGCAGATCTTCGACATTGTGCGCCAGATGAGGGAAAAGAGCCAGGCCCATCATATAACCCCCTCAGGCAGATTAGGAAGGAAGGAGATAGGAGGAAGAGAACCGATGCTGGAGATCATGATGATGCTGATGTTGATGATGTCGATGCTGATGATGATGCTGCTGCTGATGCAGATCATGATGACGATGGTGATGATGTTGCTGATGATGATGATGCAGCTGATGCTGATGAGAATGGTGATGCTGATGCTGATGATGATGACGATGAAGATACTGGTGAGCATACTGGTGACGATGATGCTGCTGCCTATGATGATGCTGATGGCGATGATGAAGATGCTGGTGATCCTACTGGTGGCGATGCTGCTGATGCTGATGATGATGATTCTGATGCTGATGCTGCTGACGACGACGATAATGATGAATCTGACGATGACGATGCGGATGCTGATGATGGCTGTAGTGGCGGTGGTGGTGATGAGGATGACGATGATGACGGTGATGATGGTGATGATGACGATGCTGATGCTGATGATGATGATGATGCTGACGACGACGATGATGATAGTCGTGATGATGATGATGATGGTGGTGGTGATGATGATGATACCGATGTCGACGGCGATGACGATGATGCTGTTGATGATCATGGTGGTGGTGGTGATGGTGGTGGTGGTGATATTGCTGTTCCTGTTGTCGTCGCTGTTGATCATGATGTGGTTGTTGTTGCTGCTGTTGTAGTTGTTGCTGTTGTTGTTGTCGTCGTCGTTGTTGTTATTGTTGTTGTTGATATTGTTGAGGTTGTTGGCTGTTGTTGTTGTTGTTGTTGTTGTTGTTGTTGTTGTTGTGGTTGTTGTTGTTATTGCTGCTCTTGTTGCTGTTGTTGCAATGGTTGTTGCAGTTGTCGTTTGTTGTTTTTGTTATTGTTGTTGTTGTTGTTGTTGTTGCTGCTACTGCTGCTGCTGCTGTTGTTCTTGTTGTTGTTGTTGTGGTTGTTGTTGTGGTTGTGGTTGTTGTTGATTGACACTGCACCTAACAACCCGCCCACCCCAGCAACTAGCAACCAGCAACCCAGCCGCTGGCGCGCCTGGCGTGTGTGGCGCACCTGGCGCGCCTGGCGCACTTGGCGCGCATGGCAAACCTGGCGCACTTGGCGCACCTGGCGCACCTGGCGCACCTGGCGCGCCTGGCGCACCTGGCGCGCCTGGCGCACCTGGCGCACATGGCGCACCTGGCGCACCTGGCGCACTTGGCGTATCTGGCGCGGCTGGCGCACCTGGCGCACCTGGCGCGCCTGGCGCACCTGGCGCACTTGGCGCACCTGGCGCACCTGGCGCGCCTGGCGCACCTGGCGCACCTGGCGCGCCTGGCGCACCTGGCGCACATGGCGCGCGTGGCCCACCTGGCGCACATGGCGCACATGGCGCACCTGGCGCGCCTGGCGCACCTGGCGCGCCTGGCGCACCTGGCGCATCTGGCGCAGCTGGCGCAGCTGGCGCACCTGGCGCAACTGGCGGACCTGGCGCACCTGGCGCATTTGGCGCACCTGGCGCACCTGGCGCACCTGGCGCTCCTGGCGCACCTGGCACACCTCGTCCTTTCCTCGCCGCTGCTGATCCCAGACATCATCCCTTTCCTCCCTCCTCCCTCCTCCTCCTCCTCCTCCTCCTCCTCCTCCTCCTCCTCCTCCTCCGGCTCCTCCTCCCTTGGGAGCGGCGCACATTCCCCGCCCAGACTTTGTGGGCCATCTTGGGCCATATGTGTATACACATATTCGTATATATGTGTATTCGTGTATGTGCATATGCCAAAAGTGTACGTGTATTTACATATATGTACATCTGCATGTATGTATGCATGTACAGCTACATAACTCATATGCACTTGTGCATGAGACTAACCAATTTTATATACGTATGCATATACATACATATATATGTTTTCAAACATGCGTATGTCGTATATGTATACGTGTGTATATATATGAGGTGCATATACACATATATCTATATATACACCGATGAATCCATACATATATATTCATAATATACATATACATATACACATCTGTGTACACTCTTATGTAATACACACATACGCAACCTACCCAGGGTACCTTTGGGATGCCTACGGAGCCCCAGGCATTCCCCAGGATTAGGAGGATCCCTGAAAGGATGTTTCAGGATTCCTTAGGAATCCCAGGGAATCCTTAAGAGTCCTAGGGATTCCTTAGGAGTCCCAGGGATTCCTTAGTAGTCCTAGGGATCCCTGAGGAGTCCTAGGGATCCCTTAGGAGCCCCAGGGATCCCCAAAAGTTCCCATGGATTCCCAGGGATTCCTAAGGAGTCCTAGGGATTCCTAAAGAGTTCTAGGGATTCCTCAGGAGTCCCAGGGATTCCTTAGTATTCCTTGGGATTCCTTAGGGGTTCCTTAGGAGTCCCAGGCATACCCAAGGGATTCCCAGGGATTCCTAGGCATTCCTCGGGAGTCCTAGGGATTCTTTAGGAATCCTTGGGATTCCTTAGGTCTCCTAGGGATGTTTAGTGATGACCACGGCTTCTTGAGGATTCCTAGGGATCCCTAAGGAGTCCCAGGGATCCCTTAGGAGTCCTAGGGATATCTAAAGAGTCCCAGGGATTCCTACAGAATCCTTAGGCGTCCTAGGGTTTCCTTTGGATTTCTAGGGATTCCTTAGGAGTCTTAGGCATTCCCTAGGTCCTTAGGATTCCTAGGGATTCGTGAGGATTCCTAGGGATTCCGCAGGATACCTCAGGATTCCGAGGCACTGCTTTGGATTCCTAGGGATTCGTTGGGATTCCATGATTCCTAAACATGCTCTAGCATTCGTGAGGATTCCATCGGAGTCTTAGGGATCCCTAAGGATTCCCTAGGATTCCTAGGGATGCCTTAGCATTCGTGAGGATTCCATCGGATTCCTAGGGATTCCCTAGGATTCCTAGGGATGCCTTAGGAATCCCATGGGGATTCCATAGGATTCCAATGGATTCCCTAGGATTCCTAGGGGTGCCTTAGCATTCGTGAGGATTCCATAGGATTCCTAGGGCCCCTTGCGCCGCCTTGGGTCCATCCTGTGCCGTATTGGGGCTGTCTGCCGGACCTCTTGAGCCGTCTTGGATCTATTCTGGGGACCTTGTAGGCCGTCTAAGACTTTCGGAAGCCCGACAAGGCTAGTTTGCTAACCTCCTTCCAACACTAAAGGATGCCAATGGGTTTTGCCTCGCGAGCGTCCTCTTGGAGCTCTCTTAAGACGTCTTTGGGGCCTCTCGGGCCCTCTTGGGACGTCTTGCGCCATCTTGGGTCGTCTTGGGGCCCTATCCGGCCGTCTCTTGGACATTTCGGGCCGTCTTGTGGCGGTGTTGTCTGCCTTGAGGCAATTCTTAGCTGTCTTGGAGCGTCCTGGAGAAAAAAGGCGCCGGAAAGCAGAACCACGGGGGGGGATTTTCGGACGTCGCGCGCGACGAGGGTGGCGGCCCTAGAACCATTGAAGAAATCTTACCAGACAGTATAACAGCATTCTAGCACGCCCACGTCATATCGGCACGGTGGCGGATGTCTGTATCTGGTTCTGCCTGCTGGCGTGGCTGCTGGTCTGTTTGCTTGTCTGGCTGGTCTGTGTGCCTGGTCTGTCGGTCCTGTGTCTGCCGTGGTTATCTGTTCAGATTGTCTATTCTATCTGTTCTGTTGGGGGGTTGGGGGGTTGGAATCCAGTCTCGCACGCCCAGTGAGTCCGTAAGGGGATCGGCGGAAGGCAAGAAGCGCGTGGCGAGAATTGTCTGCATTTGGGGGGCCCCCTGGCCTTACAGCAGGAAGAGTGTGGCTTTGACCGTTTGGGTGGAAGAGATGACGGCCACTGCGGCAGGCCAAGGAGTTCAGTGGCACCCTCAAGGAGGTCCTGGGTTCCTGCCGCGCCGTGGGCTGCACGGTGGACGGCACGGCCCCTGCCACGCTGACGCAGTGGGACGGGGATTCGGGGCTCACGAGACGATCGGAGCCATGCCCTCCCCCATGCCCGCGCCCCCTTGGGAAAGGGGGGGGCAGTGGGAAGGGCTTGGGGGATGAGAGGAGGTGGGGACGGGGGGGCGGGGGGAGGCAGGGGGGGAGAGCGGGGGAGGAGACGGCACGAGATTGACACGAGGTCAGCGCGCCCGGGGCGCTTGCCCTTGGCCCGCTCGGCACCCAGGCCAGTGCCTGGCGGCATGCGGACGGTCGCCGGGGCACCGCCCCAAACAAGCACGGGCGATCCTGCTCTCGGCGAGCAGTTGTGGACCTGCGGCTGCGACGGGCGGTACCGCCAGGAGGCGAGCTGCGTGGCTGGCAGGCCGAGTGGCAGAGCGCAGTCGGTACGGGCGGCCTGGCGTGCTTGCCAGGAGTGCGCGCAAGCGAGCGTGCTGGGCTGGCCGCGGCAGTGCGCGCAAGTGCGGCGGTGCCCTCGACGCCGTTGTCGTGTCGGACGACTCGGCGTCGCCATCTCGTGAAGTCCTCGTCATGGCTTGTCGCTGCGCGCAGGTCAGCCGGATGGCCCAGGCTGGCTGAATGTTCTGGCAACGCACCGTCGCGGGGGGCGCGGAGGCAACGGGCAGGCGAGGCGTCGGCGTCTCGCGCCCACCTGGCGGCGGCGCGGCCTCTCCTGCTGGCGCGTGCCTTGGGCCAAGGCATTGACGCTCTCGACAGTGGTGTAGTGGGCGCACAGTTGGCGTTGCCAGTCGAGGCCAGTGTGGAGCGCCTGTGCGCAAACCGCGCTCCGGAGGGCGGCGGCTCCCCAGTGCTCAGGCCGGTGGCCTTGGCGGCTCGCCTTTGCGCAGGCGGCCGCCCAGGCGTGGCGCGCCTGTGGCGTGTTGGCCGCACTTGGCGGCTGGGCGCGGGCTTCGGCCGCCCCCCAGGGCAATGAGCTCCCAGAGGGGTGCGTGCGCCGTGCGCATCAGACGGTTTAGTGAGACTTGGAGACGGTTCGCTGGGAGCCGCGAGACCCTGTTTGAGATGAAGGGTCTCCCCGTGGCGGGTAGGCGTCTTGTGACGCAGCTCGCCAGGGCCAGGTGGCTGAGCTTACTGGAACAGGGCCGCGTGGTAGGCGCGCGCGAACATGCCTGCGTCATCTGCCGCTTGGAGCGCGTCCGAGAAGCGCCGTTCGATGACGCCGAGCTCGTGGCGTCTCTCCAGGGGGATCATCGGTGGGGGCGGGCGGGTATAGCGCAGGCAGGACAATGGCGACGGCCAGCCTGTTGCGCTATGCATGTCCAAGTCCAGCGTGCTCCCGTGGCGGGCCCATGGGGTATCGTAGGAAGCCCTGGTCGGTATCTCCCAGACCAGTCTCCATGCCCGTTGTCCAAGGAACGGGCAGCGTCTGTTCTTGAGACCCCTGGGATCCCCCGACCCTGCAATTCTTCATCTGGAACCCACCCTGCCGCCCACCCCTTCCTAGACCCGGCTCAACACCGCATCGTACCGCCCGAGGCGGCCGGCGAGGTGGCGGGTCTCCCCGGAAGGCCACAGCGTGGACGCCTCGCTCCTGGAGGGCCTTCAGCAAGTTCCGATTAGGGCTCCAGGCTGGTCTCGCTTGCGGAGACGAGGCGGCACTCGCGGGGCCCATCGCGGACTGCGTGGCTGGGCTTCCGCGCGGGCCGGCAGGCGACCACCAGCCCAGACGCCTCCGCTGGCTGCGGGGCCGCAGGCCTTTGCGAAGGCCGCGCCGACGGCGCTGGGAGGGGTGGGCGTGCGTGCCACAGGAGGAGGGACAAAGGAGCGCGTCGAGGCCGATCCGCTTACCGCTCGCAAGCGGCCGACGACACGACGGCCCACCCCCCCCGCCCTGCAAGAGCAGCAGAAGGGGCGGTGGTGCGACGGCCCGCGCGTGTGCCAAGCCGCGCGGCGGCGCTCGCAGGGCCCGAACTTCCTGCAGCGCCAGGAGACAGCGGCAGCGGGACTGCGGTGGTCGCCGCCAGGGGTCCGCTGCTGGGTCCGCCATTGTCGGGCGGGACTAGAACGAGGATAATTGCATTCCGGAGCGTTCCAGAACGCTCTCAGAGCGTTCTGGAACGCTCTGAGAAGGCCGGGGCGCCCTATACGTCCTCCAGAGCCGCCCCGGATCTCAGAGATTCTCGATTTATATCCTCCTCCGAATTTATCCTCGTCCTGGCTTCGTCTTGCATTGGCGGCGGGCCCAGCCCCTGGGGTGCGGCTGCGGCGGCGCTGGCGGCGACCAGCGCCGAGACCACGAGGGGCGCAGGGGCCGCGTTGGGGCCGGTGGCGCTGAGGCAGGCCACCAGGGCCGCAGCCGGTGGTGGCAGTGACGAGTCCTGGCCGCCGTGCGCAGGTTGCGGCGCGCATGTTCCGAGCGTGGTCTGTGGGGGCGGCCAAGGGAGGGGTAATGACTAGGCGGGGGTGGATCTCATGACGGGGGCCATGAGAGCTATCTCCCCAGGTTTCCTGGCGCCTTCCTGGGCCGCGCACATGCCGCCAGGCATGATTTGCGCCCCCCCCTCCTGGACGCCCCCCTCCTGGCCGCCCCCGAGGTCTTCCCTTCCCCCACGCGCTCCTCCTCCTCCCGCCGCGCCTGTTCCCCCGTGCCGCAATTTGCCACCGATGCGCCCCGCCGTCGCTCGATCGCTCCTCGATTCAAAGGGGCGCAGACCAAAAAAGTGGTGGGGGGCGCGGCCGTGGCTCCCTGGGCGGCAGCAGCTGCCACCCGCGCCGCGGCGGCGGCGGCCAGGGCGGCCTCCCTGAGATCCGACGTCGTGACACAGATTGCAACACCATGACAAATCACGACTGGAGGCCTACACCCCATCATCCCGCGTAATTTTTCGAGCTGGGTCGATCTGTGATGGGCCCGAGCTTTGAAAAGAAGTGCGAAGCCCGGATCTCAGGGTTCGTCGAGCTCGCAGAGAGCGCCGCAGCGGTGGGCTCCGCGGCTGTGCACCTGCCCGCTGGGGCTGCGGCGTGCACTGCCTCGCGCACTCTGTGCGGGCGGCGCCCAGCTCGGCGGGAGACGGCTCCTGCCCGGGCGCGGGCTCCAGGAGCAGCCGGGGGTCGATGAGTCTTCGGAACGTGTGTCAGCCCACTGTGTGGTGGCGCCCCGTTCAGCTCCACCGCTGGTGCGCAGTCTGTGCCGACCCTCAATGCACCGCCTGCGTCGCATTGAAGGGCTTCGGTGGACGCACACTTTGGCGCTGACGCACATGCTGAGGATCATCGGCACGGCGCTGGCTTCAGGAGCGGCCGCGGGGTGCTGGGGGCCGCGGTGTCGTCGGGGTCGAGGCGGCCGCGGCGGCTGTGGGCTGCGGCCAGCAAGCTTCATCCCCACGGTTGCCAGTCGGGCAGCGCCGCAGCAGGTTGCCTGGCCTGTCGGGCGTGTTCCGCAAGCGTTTTCCTGCTCGTTCCGCCCACGCGCGCCACGAGCGCGTAGCTCCCAGGCAGCTGGCTGGCCGAGCCCTGGCAGCCGCGCGCGCGCGGGGCCAGCACGGCGCGGCGGCACTGGCAAGGGGGAGGCGCGGCGGCGGCCCTTCGAGAGGGACAGGCGCTCCCCGCGGTGCTCCCGCCGGCTGGCTCGGGCGGTCTCGCGGCCGGCGGCTCTCGCTCGGTCTCGCGGGCCCCTCCGCGAGGGCGCAGGGCCCAGGCGCGCAGGTGTGCGCGGCGAGGCTCCCGGCCCTCTGGGCGGATGTGGCCGCTCCGCCGCGCAGGGCGGGGCCAGGGCCAGGTCCGCAGGGGGAGGCACGGCATGACCGGTGTGAGCGGCCCTGTCCTGATTTTCTTCGTGTGTCGGCTCTCCTCCTTTGAGTGGCTCGTTTTGGGTGTCTCGATGGTTCCTCGGTCCCTCGGCGAAGAGGATCGTGCTCTGTATCCCCGTGCTCGTGGTTCTGTTTTGACTGTGCCTTGCCCTGTCAGGGCACAGCGGACCGCAGCGGCATAGGGGAGGGATGGGGGTGGCAAGAGTGGGGGGGAAGACAGGAACGAGGGGGGAGGAAGGGGGGTGGAAGGGGATGGAGGTCCTGGTAATGGTGCAAGCGGAGGCATGCTGAGGGGAAGTCCACGCGCGCCAGATGCGAAGTGGTGATGGAGACAGACAACATTCTCTGACAATGCCTATCTTAGTCAGAAGAGAAGCTTTTAGAGGATCTAGAAGATGAGGAGGCTAAGAAGGATAAGGAGGAGGCCGAGTATGAGGAGGATTGGGACGAGAAGGAGGAGGAGGTGGAGGAGGAGGATGAGCAGTATAAGAGGATGGTGGAGGAAGAGGGATGATTGAGGAGAAAGGAGACGTACCCGTGGCGAAGGGGGCATCGGGTTCGTGAAAATGAACGGACAGAAGGATATCGGTGATTATCAGTTGCAAAGTGTACCCCAGGCATTTGCATCACACGCTGACTGAGCGAGCTTAGGTGGCGGGTGTCGATCGCACTGGTAGGAGTGGGCCATGTTGAGCTTTACCTAGCTTCTGGCAGCGTGCTGTGAGCAAGCGTGATCCTGGTTTCTTGGTCGTGGGTGCCTCCCATCGTAGCAACCGGGACAAGTAGCGTAGCAATGGGCCCAACCACGTGCAGTTGCGTGTAGCGCAGCGTGGTCCTCTCTTCACATACTGCGCACTCGCGGGGGAGTGCGTACATAGAAAGGGGGGCTGCGGAGCAAACGCGCAGAGGCGCGCGGAACTTCCTGTGGGGCACGATGCGAGTGTGGGTCGTGCCGACGTGGGCGGTCCGCATCCGGTCGAGCCCACCGAGCCCGCACGTGGAGCTCCTATGGGACGATCCGCGCGTGGGCGTGCCGTGTGCCGAAGTGGGCGTGGGCCTGCATGCGAACACTCTCACGGGTGACGTAAGCGGAGCACCCTGTGGGGCTCGATCAGTGTGAGGGGTATGCCCAGATGGGCGGGGTGGCGCCATGCGGACCCTCCTCCTAGGCCGTAGGGTGTGGCACGAGCCGCGTGAAGGGTGCAAAATGGGCGCGGGGACACCATGCGTACCCTCCCACTGGGGCCGTATGGTGAACTCCATGCGGGGCCCGTGTGAGGGGTGCTCCCGAATGCGGACGCTATGCGGACCATCTGGGTGCGGAGAGGAGCTCACTATGGGGAGCGATCTGTGTGAGGGGTGCGCCGGAATGGACATGTGGAGAACAAAGGTTAGAAGTGGAGGAGCAGAATGAGGAGGAGGAGGAGGATGAGGAGGAGGAGGTGGAGGAGGAGGAGGAGGAGGCGGGGGAGGAGAGGAAGGAGGGACAGAGACGCGTGGCGCTGCACACGCGGATGGGAAATATGACAAAGCAGCTGGCTTGGATCATTTCGCCGAGCTCGGGTGGTAGTTTCTGAAGATGCTTAAACACTTGTTATCTCAAGTCAGCCTCTTTCGTAAAGTCGTCGGCTTTGTTCACACGTAAGAGGTAAGTCTGCTTATCGCATTGGCAGCACTTTGGACAGCAGTCCGTCGAGCCGTGGCTCTGAGCACCAGTCGCACCCCTTGCCCTGAGCATTTGAGGCTGGATGTGGTCACATCCCTTGAAGCCATTGGGGTTGCGAGAAGTGGCTTGAGTCAACATTGCCCCAGAGAGAGGAGAGAGGGGGATGAGGATGGAGGGAAGAGGGGGGATGGAAGGAGAACTGATGAAGGATCGAGGAGGAGGGTGAGGAGGAGGAGGTGGAGAAGGAGGAGGAGGATGGAGGCTAGAGGCAGAGAGGAGGGAGGTTTGAGGGAGGGAGGAGTAGGAGAAGGGAGGAAGGAGGTGGGACGAGGGAGGGTGAAAGAGGAATGTGGGTAGAGGAAGAGGAAGCCTGGGATGCAGCAGGGATGAGACATAAGGAAGGAAAAGGCGGGGATCGGGAGGGATGATGGTGGTGCGGCGAGGGTAGGAGTAGGATTAGGAGGATGGGGAGGTAGGATCACAGGAGGTGGTGGTGGTGGTCTTCTCTCCCGGGGGGGTGGGGGCAGGATGGTCGACGACGGCGAGTTCGAGATGCCCGAGAAGTAAGCGGCATCATCGGCGGCCGGGCGGCGCTTCTGGAGCAGGGGGAGCTGGGCGCGGTGTCGGCAGGTGTGTCTGCAGATGCCCTCCCCGCCTCCCTCCCTCGCCGATGCTCGCCGACCTGTCGCACTAGCATGACCTGGGCACTCGCTTCTTGTTTCTCTTCTCCTGCTCTCGGCCATCCCGCTCTCTCTGGTGAGAGTGCACTCCTCCTCCCTTCCCCCCTCGCCCCTGCCCGTTCCTGCTCGTCCTCGCCCTCTCCCTCCCCCCCCTGCCTCCCCTCCCCCCATGTTCCCTCTCGCTCCTCCCCATCACTCGCCCTGCCTCCCCATCATTCTCCCTCCCCTTCCCCTTCCCGCCAATCCCCTGCCGCTCCGTCTCCTGCCGCTCCTCCTCCCCGTCCTCCTCCCCGCCAAGTCTCCCAGCCATGCAGGGCCACCCAAGGCGGCCCTTGCTGCTGGTTGGGAGGGCGAGGCCGCGCTGGTTGAGGACGGGCGTCGGCCAGCCATGATTTGCATCCATCGGCTGGTTGATGCCTCACCCTCCTCCCTCCTCTCGTTTCCCCTGGCGGCGACAACATAGCCGCCAGACCAGCGGTCAGGCCCAGACGACGGGTTGCGACGAGGCTGCGAACGGGGCGGCGTCGGCGGCAACATAGCCGCCCGAGTGGAACCCAGGCCCAGACGACGTGTGGCGACGGGGCGGAGGCCGGGCGGCGACGGCGGCAACATAGCCGCCAGGTTGGCACCCAGTCCCCAGTCTCTAGGCTCAGACGACTGGTGGCGACAAGGCAGCAACGGGGCGGCGACGGCGTTAACATGGACGCCACCCAGACCCAGTTCGTTAGGACAGGTAAGAACTCCAAAGTACAAGCACTGTTTTGGAAACGTGGAAAACATGCATGGGGAATGGAAGGGATGACGGACATTCAATAAGTATGGCAAAGTGTGAAAAACTTTTGAATTTGTGTCAATTCATTTTGTATACCCCTGGGCCCCTCTAACTTTGGCGTCGCTCGGATGTGTGCATTTTGTCCTCGGCGAGGACCATCGAGGAGCATCTGGCCTCATCGTGCAAAGCAAGAGACGCGTGATGCTGACAACAACTGGATTTTGCGGCGCGCACAAGGGGATGGCGCGAGGGCGGTGGCGTTCTAAGAAGGCGGCGCGCTTGTTAGAAGGCAAGGGCTTTCTTAGAAGGGCCCCGAGGCTTCTGAGACGGCTTCTTAGAAGCCAGGAGGGCTTCCAAGAAGGCCCCTGCCTGCTCAGAATCGCCCCCACCTTCATAGAAGGCCCTCCCCCTCACGCCACCCCCTTGTGCGCGCCGCCAAATCTCGCCAAGAAATACACGCACGACACTTGAACTATCCCGGCAAAGCAACCTAACAGCCATGCGTAGGAGCATCTCTGGGTCGAACAGCATCTCGACGAAAAGGCAGCGACAAAAAAGGTGACGTCGACGACGGCGGTGGCGGCGGCGACGGCGGCGCCCCCCCCGCCGCCATCCGCAGAGGTGGCTCGTTCGTGTTCTTCGTGGCCCGCCATACCCGGGCCACATTTTTTGCTTGTTGATAACAATGTCTCGTTTCCAGATATGCTTCCAGCATGTGTAGAAAGCATATATGGGAGCATTCCCCTTGAGATTCAGATGAGAATCCAGTTGTCGAATCGAAATAGGAAAGCCAAGACGTGTCCGTACTGGTGGGAACGACAGTACCTGCAGTAACAGTAGTAGTGGCATTGGCAGTAGCTGCAATAACAGCTATCAAACGAGACACTGCTATCAACGCTGGCAGTGTGTCAAACAAAACTTTGCGATCAATTTTGGGAATCGTGTCAAAAGGAGACACTGCTATCAACGCTGGAAGTGTGTCAAAACGAGACACTACTATCAATAATGGAAGTCGTGTACAAACGAGACACTGCTATCAACGCTGGAAGTGTGTCAAAACAAAACTTTGCTATCAATATTCGGATTCGTCTAAAAAGGAGACACTGCTATCAACGCTGGAAGTGTGTCAAAACGAAACTTTTCTATCACTAGTGAGAGTCGTGTAAAAAACGAGACCCTGCTATCAACGCTGGAAGTGTGTGAAAACGAAACTTTGCTATGAATATTGGGAGTCGCGTAAAAAAGAGACACTGCTATCAACGCTGGGAGTGTGTCAAAACGAGCCACTGCTATGAATGGGGAGAGTCGTGTAAGAAGGAGACGCTGCTATCAACGCTGGAAGTGTGTCAAAACGAAACTTTGCAGTGAATTTCGGGAGTCGTGTAAAAAGGAGACACTGCTATCAACGCTGGAAGTGTGTCAAAACGAGACACTGCTATCAATAGTGGCAGTCGTGTAAAAAGGAGACACTGCTATCAACGCTCGCAGTGTGTCAAAACGAAACTTTGCAGTGAATCTTGGGAGTCGTGTAAAAAGGAGACACTGCTATCAACGCTGGAAGTGCGTCAAAACGAAACACTGCTATCAATAATGGCAGTCGTGTAAAAAGGAGACACTGCTATCAACGCTCGCAGTGTGTCAAAACGAAACTTTGCTGTGAACTCTGGGAATCGTGTAAAAAGGAGACACTGCTATCAACGCTGGAAGTGTGTCAAAACGAGACACTGCTATCAATAGTGGGAGTCGTGTAAAAACGAGACACTGCTATCAACGCTGGCAATGAATGGTGATGATGAGTGCGGTGATGAGTGCGACGATGAGATGATGACTGTCCTTTTTTCAGAGGACCGCGCTGAGGAGCGGCGCGCGAAGCGGAGAAGCTGCAAAGCGTGCAAGCTGAAAAGCATTGCAGACACGCGCAGGCTGAAAAGCATTGCACGACACGCGCAGGCTCACCGCGCACAGCTGCACACGAGTGCAGGCTGAGAAGCACCACGCGCATGCAGGCTGAGAAGCACCACGCGAATGCAGACGGACAGACTGAACAGCACCGCCACAACGCAAGCTGCATCTCGTGGCTCCTCAAGCTCGCGCAGGCCATCCCAGTTGCTGTCGGGCCTTCGCGCAAGCGATCTTCGTCGCGGCAATCTTGTCCGTGAAGAGCTCGGCGAAGGCCTTGGCGATCTGTTCCGGGGGGCCGGATTCGATGATGCTCCGGTCAGGCAAGCCGTGGCTCAAGAGTTGGTTGAAGCTTCTGGGGCGCGACAGGCTGACGTAGTAGGCAAGCCAAATGGACTCCTTCTTGAGTCCTGGCGGAAACGTCCAGTGCACGATGAAGCCTGGGTCCGTCGTCTTGCCCTGGACGCCATGCAGAGTCCCCTGCTTCTTGGGCAGCACGGTCAACTGCGTCCTGGACACCGCGATGGCCGGGCCACCTGTCTTCGCTTTGAACTTCCAGGGGCGCGCCTGCGGGGTGATCGCGAGCACTCCGCGCAGGTCGGGGCCGGCAGGCTGAGAAGCACTGCCAGCTGTCACCGGCGCGGCCTTCAAGAAAAGTTCATCGCTGTCATCGATCTTGACATAGACGGCCTTTGGCATGTAGTAGAGTACGACCACACCGTCCGAGACAATGGACGGGCGGCCCTCCACCGGAGGCTCCAGAGCGTGCAGCTCTATGCCTACCACTTTGCCTGGCGCGCCACGGACATACTTCGGCGGCAAGACGGATTCTGTCAGGATGACCTCCATGCCAACGAAGAGCGGCAGCAGCCCCGGCATTTTTGCGGTAGCGCCGATGTTGGGCTCCGCGCGCATCTCGTCGAAATCAGGCTTCGCGAGGCGCGCAGCTGGTCTGTCGATTGCTGGGACGTAAAAGAGCAGCTGGCCAGCATCGTGCGCATCAAGCTTGGCCTGTGCATGCATGGCGTAAGAGACGATGCGCCACTCATAGGCCGACTCGTACCAGCCTCGTGCTGCACGCAACCGAGGGCCCCATTGAGGTGGCTGAGCGGCTTCGCTGCTGCTGGCAGCAGGCTGACCAGCACCGCTAGGGCTAACGACCTCTGTTTTGACGATCGCCTGCCAGCTCTCGTCAGAGATCTTTTTTCCGCCTGGAGTTCTCATGGCGTGGAGAACCTCGAGTTGCAACGGGTCTGTAAAGCGCTGCATCTGCACGAAATCGATGACGTACTCGAAGTCGGCGAGCAACTTCCTACCCTGTTGGTGTTCGTAGGACTGGCCCGTGTGAGGCGCCAGCAGGGAGGCGCTGGCGGGGACCGGCGGCAACTGGTAGAAGTCCCCGCGCAAGATCTTCACGGCCATGCGCCCCCACGTCTCTTGCGGCCGCATGTACTTCGTGGGGTCGAGGTTGTAGCGCAACGCCCTGCCGTAGGTCGTGCGCAGTGCATCGGCATGCAGCAAAGGCCCCGGCACAGCACCCAGCTCATCGATCACGTCGACGCCGAGTGTGCCTGTGAGGCGGTCCAGCTTTTTCTGCGTCTGTGGCGTCAAGCGCAGCCTGGCGGTCTGCATGGGGTCCGACATGAGCAGCCCATTGGAGGAATGCATTGTCCTGCCGCGCGGGCCGAGGTTGTGTGCCGCGTGGTTGGACTGAGCTTTGCCGAGGTACCCCTGCTCGCCGAAGTAAGTGATGGCCATCGGCTCCACCACTTTGGAGAGGGTGCGTGTCTTGCCGACACCGCCCCCCCCGAGCCAAATCGCTCTGTGGTTGCCTGTCGCGGACACCACGGGGAGCAGATGCGTTGTCTTGTCTGGTCTGCCGTCAAAACGTTTCTGCAGGGACAGCGCGAACAACGCCACCGCGTCAATCTGCTCCTCCGCGCACTCGGCATCAGTGACCAGCTTCCACGCAACAGCCGCCGGGCCCTGCATGGCCAAGAGCTGCGGCACGAGTTCCGGCTGGGCGTCCTCGGCAGCAGGCTGAGGAGCACCGCTGGGTAGCCAGTCGTCCGCAGCATCGGGCAAGATCTCTCCATCCGGGCTCGTTTGCTTTTTCTGGGGCGCTATGCTTTGCCGCTGCAAGGCCAGCATGTCAGAAAAGCTCTCGTCCAGTCGCGTGCCCAGACGCTCCCGCGCGCCGGTGCTGGCTGGCAGTGCAAAGCTCGAGCTCGTCGGTCTTTTGCTGCAGGGCCTGGAGCTCGGCCTCCTGTCCAGGCGAGAACTGCTTGGCATGCCGTGCGGCGCGGATTTTCTGGGCCAACTGCCGCTCTGCAGGGCTACGCCCGGCAGACTC